CAAGCTGCTCAATTTCATAATGTAATAACATTTGTGTAATAAGCAAAGAGCTTGAAACATTCATAAAAGCAACTCCATTGCCTGCTTACCTCATTGCTCAACCAAAACTGTTCAAAAATTCCAGATGAATGGGATAGGGGCCGCTTCGCGGCCCAGGTGCCCAGTAAAATCTAAACACTAGGACTAGGAGGTGGTTGTTTTGGTTAAATAAGCAAAATATTTCAGCTTACAATTGTAGTTCAACATGGTCCATCTTTCTGATTAAGTTTCTAAGTAGTATCAAAGCATACCGGTCAAAATCTGCTCTTTCCAAAAATGATTTTCTGAATCGGTAGTTAAATGTAGTCCACAAAATCAGTAAGACAAATTTGTTTTTATGATTTACAGGAACTCAATAGTATCAATTTACTAGTAGCGCAGATATTGACCATAAACGGGGTTTGACCATCACCTCCTACATCAGAAAGCCTCCACACGGTCCTTCAAAAGTAGTCTGCGCAGATAATTTAAGAAGCAAACCTCTTGAGCGCATGAGAGCAAATTTTATTTTAAAAGTAATTCAAATTGTGAAAAATTTATGATATATACTTGAGAATTGAATTTGTAGTGGTAGACAAGTGAACGAAACAAACCAACTATATTCATAAATTAAAAAAGTTTTAGCTACCTTTTTTCTAATTTCTATTAGATTTCATATTAATTGGTTCTTTCACTAATAAGTTATCCTGCATAATGGTCTGATCGGACTACACCCCCGGATCTAGCAATTTGTTGCTTCTTATCACTTAACACTAATAGCCATAGCGTATATTCGGACAAGACTCCTTTCATGCCATTTAATCACACAATTTGGGATTCCAAAAGTTTGCTTAAGCTCATTAGGATGCTCCTTTCTACGGTAATCTTTAGTAAAACACGAAAGATTAGCATAATAGATGAAGAGAAGCTTGAGCATCAAGTCTTAGTCCTGTCAGTTGGTCGGGGGCCTGAGCTATGGCCTGAGGCCGAAGTAACCCTTTACCTCTTTATCATGAATTGAAGGATCGTTTTTGTGGTTCCTTACGGTCCTTGTTGCCTAAAAGTAAAAGCAGAAAAATACAGTATAAATTGAAAAGTTAGCTTAATTTATATATATAAATGTTTAAATATTTGTTTGTAGTGGTAGTAAACATCACTATTTAATTAATTTTTTAAAAAAATCCAAAAATTTAATAGAATAGCAAAGATTTTAATACAATTTAAAAATAAATAAGTTCTTCCAGAAGAATTGGCAGCTGTGGTAAAAATATAGCAATTGATATTATAAATAAAAATCCGAATTCAAAGTATTTATATTTATTTTAATTACTTATGCGTAGTGGTCAAGATAAAAGTAGAAATAAGATAAAATATTAATAAATAAATAAAAATATTAATATTTACATTAAAAGCAAAATTTAAATCTCCCGAGAAAATCAGAAGATTTTGCACGCAGGAATTCAACTGTCAATTCACAACCACTCAGGAAAATCAGTCTCGAAATAAATAAAAGTTAGAATGAAAATTTGATAGGACGGTAAAATAAATGGGAAAGAACGTTTTATGAAAACAATTTCGGACGAAGTAACATAATACAACTGATACCTATTTTTTTTCTCGCAGGCTCGATGTAAGGCTAATAATTATCTTTACTCAGCATTATTACTTCTTTTTTTTTGCATCTAAGAAAAAATAACTTTAAAAACAATTCTTTACGTAAGTGATATTTGAAACGTGACAAAATTGTTCTTTTTTCGCATCTTTAACAATTTTCCTTAGAAATAAAAAAGAACATTAATGAGTAACTTTAGAATATTTCTTATAATCTTTCTCCGAAGAACTCTTCGAAACTCTCAAAGGAGTACTGAAACTTATCTTTCTAAATAACCTTTCAGCCGATTAAGATAAAAACTAGCTCTGAAAATGAACTCATGGGCAATAATTAACTTAATAAAAAATGTCTCCTTATAGGAACTTAAGCCATTTTTTTTTGTTAAATGATAAGGTAAACAGAGCTTTATATTTTTTTTTAGAGACTTCAGTTGACTATAATGACCTGCAAATTATAAAAAGTTGTCCCAATACACAGTACATTAAAACTCACAGAAATATCTGTATATTTAGATATACACACCTGGCGTCAAAAAGTTAAGCATAAATTGTATGTATATTTAATATATATATATATANCACGATTCTGAAACATATATATATATATACATATATATATAATAAATACAAGAAAACATGAAGAAAGTTAAGAAAAACAATAAGTATCATTTATTGCGCATAAGCTGCAAGTAAACAGAACTCATTAGATAAGTTCAAAATGAAGATAAAACAAAGAAAAATTATAGACATATGAAAAAAGGGGGGAAAATAATAAGTAAAAAATAACAAACAACAGTTTAAAAAAAAAGAAAAAAAGGGTGAAAATTTATTCAAAAAAACCGGAAAAAAAAGATATAATCTTTTCATCAGCCCACACGATTATATCCGCAAAAAAAGAGTGTTATACCCGCATAAAAGAGTGTTATACCCGCAAAAAAGAGTGTTATACCATAATTATACCCGCACTCTTTTTTGAGGATATAATCGTGTGGGCTGATGAAAAGATTATATCTTTTTTTTCCGGTTTTTTTAAATAAATTTTCACCTTTTTTTTTTTTTTAAACTGTTGTTTGTTACTTTTTTACTTATTATTTTCCCCCCTTTTTTCATATGTCTATAATTTTTCTTTGTTTTATCTCCCCTTTAAACTTATATCTATCTAACTATATATATATATATATATGTTGAGAGGTTTTGATGATCTTCTTTTCTGCAAACTCCAGTGCTGATGCTTTAAACTCCTGATTAGACGAGCCCGTTTATGCGCAGGCGTGAGAATAGGAATCTAAATGGTTGGTCCTCTGACATACAGATAAGCATGAAGATAAAAAGTTTTCTTCGAAACTCGTATTCCCGAGCAAGTTGAACAGTCCCTCTGAAGTCGCACATTCATTGAGCAATATCAGTCTTCACAAATGATTGTTCCCTTACGAAAAAATCGAGGTATAAATGAGGTAATTTTCAAAGGTATAAAAGAGATTGTTATTTAAATACATCGTTAGGTGGAAAAGGGTGCATATGAATATCTCAAAATTAACCTCAAATATACCACCAGAGGTATATTTGCATCAACCTAAGGTGTTTAATTTTACATCTGTAACGAGGTAGATATTTACTACTTGAAGGTGTTTCATTTTCAACCTTAGGTTATTACTTATCAACCTGAAGTATATTTTTTAACATTTGTGGAAGTATTTATTCAACAATCTAAAGTGTTTAATTTAACACTTCAGGTTATTATAAATCTACCTCAGGTGTATTTTTTGACAGTTGGAAAGATAATTTTTTACTAACGGGAGGTGTATTATGTTCGACCTCAGGTAATTATTTTTCATCCTCAAGTATCTAATTTTATGCTTGTATAAGTATTTACTATTTATCAACATATAGTGTGTCGTTTTACACTTCAGGTTATTATAAATCAACCTCAAGTGTATTTTTCGACCTTTGGATAGCTTGATTTTTATGAACGTGAGGTGCTCAATGTTCTACTTTAGGTTGTTGTTTTTCAACCTCAGGTATAGATTTATATAGTTGTTGAAGTATTTATTTATTTACCTAAAGTGTGCCATTTTACACTTCTGGTTGTTATAAATCATCCTCAAGTGTATTTTTTGATACTTGGAAAGGTTATTTTTTATAAACGTCATGTGTTCTGTGTTCTACCTTAGGTTATTATTTCGTAACCTCAAGTATATATTTTCGTATTTTTAGGAGTATTAATTTATCATCCTAAGATGCGACATTTTACACTTCTGGCTTATATAGCTCAACCTAAAGCTGTTTTTTTTTAATACTTACGCCACATAACACCTCATTCCCAAACGTGAGGTGTTATGTGGCCGACCTAGTTTATTAATTTGTAACCTCGCTATATAAAGAATGTAATATATACAAAGATATTATACATATTATATGAAGAAAAATGTATATCATTACATATTTTCACTCGTAGAGATCTTCAATTATCAACCTGAAGTTTTTAATATTAAACCTTCGGCAATAATTGCTTCTTTTGTTTAGCTATAAAAGAAAGTTTCAAATGCGTAATTCTTCTGTAATTTTGATAGATTGAATTAAATCATCTTGAAATAACACTTAGACGAATTCTGCAATTAGAAAAAATAATTGAAAAAATAATATAAAAATTGCATCCGCTAAAAACAATTAGTAGTTATGGATTTTTATTATTCCCGGAAAAAAACTAAAAAATGAAATTTATTGTCACCAGTTTTTACTGCAGTGCGCTGCCAAGAAGTGAAAATCTAGCGTGACCCACTGGTGGGTCATCTCGGCGTGAACGTGTTAAACAACCTCAAAATAAGCTTAGGTATAAATAAAAGGACTTCATACCCCTCAATAAACACCTCATTCTTTTTAGTTGAAAAAAGGTAAGTATTTTTATACCTCATAAATGCCTCTTTTGCTGCAAGTATCAGAAAATCAACCTTGTATACCTTAGAAATCCCCTCATCAGTTTGATTGATATGAAGTGAATTTAAACCAACCTCAAAATAAGCTTAGGTATAAATAAAATGATTTCATGCACCTCAGTAAATACCTCACTCTCTTTAGTTGAAATGAGGTACATTTTTTTTATACCTCAAAAATACCTTTTTTGTTAAAAGTATCAAAAAAACAACCTGTATACCTTGAAAATCACCTCATTAGCCTAATTGATTTGAAGTGAAAATTAAACAACCTCAAAATGAGCAGAGGTGTATGCAAAACAACCTCATACACCTCAATTACAACCTTTACCAGGTATACTTTTTATTGTAGTTTTCTTAGCAACCTCAAATATACCTTATATATACCTCAAAACAACTTCAATTGTACATTAATTTTTTCGTAATAAATATTACCTTACTTAGCAGTAAATATCTGTCTTGAACTGATCGTAGGCTATCATTTCCTGTACTTTGTAAACCTCTGCCACTGTCTGACCACGCGCTAAGGAACCTCTGACCACGCGCTAAGGAACATTCTGAATTCGAGACATTTCGGCGAAAAATAGGTTATATTCCAGTATTTTTTTTACTTTTCATTTTAAAACAGTCATTGAACAGCCGACCCAATTTTGGGGTTTACAACCACTAATGGTCAACTCCATATCCTTGTAATTTCGAACCTAACCCAGAAGACAAGGAAACTCTTGGATCAAATATTGGGAGAAATTTGCCTTCGTGAAGGACTTTTTGATTGAAATAACCCGCATTTGCTTTACATGGAAAGGAAGACAACAAGAACCTCCCACGGTTAGCCTGACTGCAAGAGGACTCTAGCCGATGATTCGTCTACCACTGAGGATATTTCCCGTTAGAACTGAAAAAATAATTAAAATTTTATTAACTTCCAGAAAAGCTGGAACTCCGAAAATAAATTTTGCTAATTTCATTAACAAAAAATAATAATTTCAGAAAGTTAAATTTGATGTCTGTAATTGCAATCGTGCAGTCTGCAGAGCGGGCCACATGGTACTTTTAACTACAAGTTAAACAGTTATTAATTATCGGAAAGTTAATTTTTTTTCCATCTTTCTCTCTGTATATTTTTTTCACAAAGATTCGTAATTTCTAGATTTTAAGTCATATACAATAATTCTCAAGCAGCAAAACAAAATGTAGCGTTAAGTTGACACCAAAAACAGCGATGGCAGCTGCTATTACGCTTTTTAATATGCAGAGAGAATTGAAAATAAAATATGATACTACATTGTTCACTAAAGTAAAATAATTTTATTTTAGCTTCACTTGAATTTATTTCTCATAAAAATTGAAACAGGGTCATCATGTGATAAAATTAATCGAAAATGTATTTTATACA